TTACACATTTCATTAAGCTTAAACTTTGCAAGCTCTTTACCTTTGAAGTGACGCCTGGAGGCTGCTCATCCGCCTACTTTAGGTTTGAGTGATAGAAGGCGGCTGAGAGGGCTGGTTTCTTGTGGGCAGGGAGCTTTTCCATTTCCTTATCTGCAATAATAAACCAAGAGTTAGCAAAGAAACAAATAATAAAAAACAAGCAAAGGTAATAATATCATGCGGCCAGCTACCTCTCAGCATCTCAGTACTAAGCCCGCAGGTGTCCAAGTACGTCCCGTCCGAGAGCCACTCGAATCGGGGAATATAACTTTAAGGGGTGATCTCCTTAACCCCCGTTTCTTGATTTGTCCGGACAACCACACTAAAGAGGCCCCAGTCAAAAATCTCCTCTTGGGCCCGCCTAGGAACAGGCGGAAGAGCCTTTTTTCCAGCCAAGAGGCGAGGATACTAAGTCCAGCGGTTGTACCGCCTGTTCCTTTGAGCGTCTGGGGAAGAGACTATGTAAAACTTGATTCGCTAGTCCTTCCAGTTGTTCTCTTTCCCCAGCGTCATCATGTACCGGGTATGGCTGGTCAAAGTAAACCAGTCGATCCCACTTGGATTGGGCGTTCTGCTCAGATAGTGCATGGAAGCGAACGCCTCGAAGCTGGGATCTACCTCCAGCATTTCGTAGGCGGCAACGTAGCCCAAGATATTTACCCAAGAGTTGGGGGCTAGTTTACAGATACCCAGTTGCTATCCGTCCAAGATCCTCTCCACGACCGGATGGAGAGGAAAGCAAAGTCCTGCCTGGATGGCTGCCTCATAGCAGCCGAAGCACTGGTCACCATAAACAACAATCTCAGGCCAAGTGACCGTGTCTACAACATCCGGCACGGACAGAAGAAAGCCATGTCCCATGACATGGGCAGAAAGAAATTTGGGAAGATCATCCATCATGATCTTCCGCCTGCCTTCTGGAACGTGCAGATAGTTGAGCGCACGTTCATGTCGCTTGGAAGCAGACGGCTCCGCCAACCCTCTCCCTTCTCAACGGAGAGGGACTCTCTGGCAGCTTTTAGGTTTGACTGCGCCTCCTCTGAGTCAAGGGGAACGCAGTTGGAAGATGATGACGCAGAGTCATCAGAATTCTCTTCGGAGCTAGGGGACTACCGGCTGTTGCCAACAGTGTCCTCCCCCAAATCATCATCTGGCACCGATCCACTCGGCCCGGGGTTCTCAAATTCCTCGTCCCACTCCTCCAAAAATGAGTCATTTGGAGTGCTGACGGTGCTAGGCGGGTCCCCACGGACCTCAGAAACAGGCACCCTAATGGAGCCATCAAAATTGATAGTCTCACTGTCCAAATGGTAAAAGGAACCATCCGCTCTATATCTCCTTTTTGTTTGCTTTGTTCTGGCCATTGTGTCCTGAAGAGGCACATACACTGTCGGATTTGGAGAGGTACTTAAAGCAAAGATCTCGAACGAGCATTCGACACTCTTAGTCCTAGATTCAGCCGTCCCCGGTGACCGGCTGATCACTAACCTAGGCCATGCCGGATGCGTTTGGGATTCCATTTCGATAATTAAAAATGCAAAGAAATAAGTAAAAAGAGATCAGGCGATTACCTTAGGAGAAGGTAATGAGAGTCGTCGGTCTTAGGCACTTGTTGAAGCAGGCGAACTAAGGGGGCCGGCTGTCGAATGCTCTGGAAGGTCAAATTCCTTGAAAGTCAGAAGATTCAAGATTCCTTTGAAGATTCACGCAAATGTGAATCCAAGAGGAAGTCAAACCTTTTTATTTATAAGGGGGTGAAAACCTTGGGGTTAAAACCCTAAATTCTCCCAACAGTAAAAAGAAATGACTCAGCCAATCAAAGGCCGACACCTGTCACAGGCGTCATGTGCGATGCACGTGACCCCTGTGAGGGGAAAATGATTTGGGTACTTTTATACCGGGCAAAGTGGCCTAATCGGAGCCCCCCACGTGTCGCTAGAGGAAGCGCCACCTCGGACCTTCAAGATGGTAACACGTGGTAGGTAGATATCCCCTTGATTTGGGATGTTTGATGATCCAAAATGGACCATTAGGAGGGCGACACGTGTCACCCTAAGAGACGCCCAAATGGCCTTTTAGGATCAGTGACACGTGTCACTCAGATATCACCTCTGAAATGGCGGCCTTCAAGGGCCTAAACCTTGAGACACCGTTTTGCGGCGTGCCCTAATCCCTAGGTCACCAGACCCTAGGGAGGGCACACTTTCCCAAAAGACCCTATAAATAGGGATAATTCCCTCATTTGAGGACAAAATACAGAACACGAGACAACACGTCACATATACATTTATTAGAAACAGACAACACCTTACCCGAGCTTGGAATCCGAGCAGATAAGTTTATTTCCGCACGTTTTACTCCGAATACTTTACTAACTTAATCTTCGGAGGCGGACCACCGACCATCCGGCGGTCCGTTTGCTTTGCAGGTACAGGCGCCCCTTGCTGGATCCAGTCTTAGTGTTGTAACTCTCCCGAGGGACAAAAACCCCCGAAACAACTCCTACCGACAAAAACCTAGACCTAACTTGCCATGAATCTCTAGAATCTAGTGCTTCTAGCCGCCGATCTGGGAGCGTCACCTACAAGCCCCGGCGTGGAACGGGTAACATGAAACCCGTTTGTCATGCTTCTATGATTGCGAGTATGCGGATCCGGGGCGCAAAACTCGCTGAGTATGTCAGCGATGAGGAGGAGACGCCTAAGGCGGTGGTCTCTGAGGCTGCGGCCCATGATGAACCACCATCTGAGGTGGTTCCTAAGGCTAAGGGTTTCGTGGTTGATGTTGTGGTTTCTGGCTCTCTAGTGACTAAGGTTGAGGTGTCTGCTACTGGATCTGCTACTGGGGAGTCTACCCCAATAAATCTGGAGGTTTCTGAGGTGCTTAAGCCACCAGAGTCCGACGACCGTGAAGAGGGGCCTTCTTTCGACGCTAGAAGCATCTAATCTGGACCTCCAGACGGCATGACGAGGGAGGAAGTGATTAAGGCTTACCTGCAGATCTACTACCCTCAGTTCAACCCTCCTCGTAATTGAATGCGCAGCGTATAATCTATAAACCCTAATTTTTTTTATGCTCCTATGTTTATGCATGTAATGTCAAATTATTTGTTGAATACTTGTTTGGTTGGATGTTGCTTCTTTTGTTTCGCTTACCTAATAATTTGTTGCATTTGTGTTGGCTTATCTGTGAGTACTTAATATTCTTTGGCTCTGTGTGTTGGGATGCTAGTATTTGATAAATTTTGATGTTTGTTTGTGTTAAAATTGGTGTGTTTGGACATGTAGGTTGTTTGATGGTAATATACTGGTTTGGTTTGAATTTGTTAGTTCTGTGGTGTTGGAGAAGTTATGTGATTGAGTTGGAAGGCAGTGTGTTGTTGGGGGTTTCTGTTGAGGAATTCGGCTATATGTTGGTTACATTGCTTGTTTGTACTGTTGTTCATTCTACCATGGATGTAGAATCCGCATCCCCTGCTGTATTTGTCGACCTTGACCTAGTTGGCATGGAAGCCATGAAGGTGTTGAATTGTGTCCCCTGTATTCTGCCATTCATGCATTGAGTCCCTTTTTTTGTTAATGCATATCCCTCTTGGTTTTCCATAAGATGATGGGACCCATCTGATAGCTACTTGGGTGGTCTAGATGCTCCATAAACCTTCTCACAGAGGTTTTTGTTGAGGTACTATATACACCTAAAAATGTCTCCCCAAAACCAAACCCGATGATGAACAACCTTTCACTGCCATTATTGGTCGGGTTTAGTATTTACTCCCGAGAGTGCTTAATATAAAATCGTATTTAATTAAATTCAATTTTTGAATAGTCCATGGATCAGTCTTGATATTTAGTCAAATCATAGTTCTTTTTTTTTATTTTGGCCCAAACCTTTTTATTTATTTTATTATTTATTTTCGCCCAATTAATAATAATAAATCAGAAATGGCCCGAAATAATCAATCGACACTTAAAAATGTTGAACGAAATTAGGGTAAAAAATGAATTTAGACGGAAAAACGGACTAAAGGCTCCCGCCTCACGGAAATTGTCCACCGTGTCACGGGAATTTGCCCCATCTAACGGTGGGATTCCCCGTGACATGGTGACCCTACTGTGACATGGGGAAATTTCGTGTCTTTTTTGCGTAAACCCTTCACGCGTTTAATTCCTTGTACCCTAAATATTTCCCGCGTCACACAGTTGTCCACCGTGTCACGAAAACTTGTCCCGTCTAACGGTGCCAAGCACCGTGTCACGGTGCCCTCTGCCGTGTCGTGGTGCAATTTTTTAGGGTTTTTATCTTCTTAGGGTTCCGTGTGTTCCCTCAACACATTTTTTCTATAAATACCCCCTCATTTCTGATTACAGGGCATCAATTAATTCTCTATTTTTCTCTCCTCATGCTCTAGCCTAAACACTAGCTTACCCTTCTTCTTTCAAAATTCCCTCTTCAAGCACTCCAAGGAGTCCATACTTTACTCGTGGTTATGTCCTTAAGCCAAGGCGTGAAAAGGGTTTGGCCCCAAATCAACTCTGTTTAATTTAATTTAATTATTATTTTATTATTTTTTCTTGAAGTTACTAACTCGTTTATTATTTTATAGTTGCAAGCAAACAGAATCAAAGTAAGAATTATGTTCCTTTTATTTCTATTATTTTCTAGCGATTTTATATTGTTGGATTTATTGTTAAATTGCTTCCAATCACTAGTGGAAAAAATCTCATTCGTAATAGGCTATTTGTAACGGACAAAGCTTTGCCTGTTACAATTAAGATATTCGTAACGGACAAAATAGTGTCCGTTACGAATACCTATTTATTCGTAACGGGAAAAATAGTGCCCGTTACGAATATAATGTATTCATAACAAGCCCTATTTTTCCTTACTAATAATAAATAAGTATTCGTAATGGACAGTACTTTGCCCGTTACGAATACTATATTACACGTAGATGCCCAAACTTGGCCCAAATAATGAGAGGAGCCCAATACTTGCTTTTTAGGGTTTCACCTCTTTCTCTCATCAGTCGCTCACTCCCTCTCTCTCTCTCCTCTCCTCTCCTCCCCGTCATTCACCTCTCCTCCCCTCCCCGTCATACACCTCTCCTCTCCTCTCCTTCCCTCCCCTCTCCAATACTTGAGTAGCGATTGTGTTCATCTTGAGACGAGAAACTTAACCGGCGGCTTCATACAGGAGCTCTCAAGCGGCGTCGTTTTGGGTGGAGGTGTAACCGGCGGTGACGGAACTCTTGTTGAAAACCCACTCCGGTTCGACCAGGGTCCGAACCCGGTTAGCGTCGATTAGCGTCGATTGTGGCAGACGTTGAAAACAACCAAGCCCGTAGGCTTCTTCATCCTTAGATCCAAGTCGTTGAACGAACTGATTCTAGGTAGGATTTTTCTCTTTGTAATCATCGAATATTAATTTGGAAGATTTATCAGTTTGAATGTGGTAAACGATGATTGTCTGAGTTGATTCAACTTTATTTTTTGAAATTTATGTTGTTTTTAATTGATTTAAGTTTCTGGGTACTGGATTTTTGGGATATTTTGTGCTGAATTTTTGCAATTTAGGGTTTAATTTTAATTAATGGTGAAGAAGTTAACAATTTTCCCCAATTTGATTTTGAACAGAAGGAAAGAAAGCGAAATTGACATGGAAGAATCTCGAGAAAGGTATTGATTTGATTTAATTAAATTTGATTTGGCTTATGAACATCTATCGGGGATCATCCCTAATTTCCAGTATGTTTGATTGAATTTGGCTTTTGAACCTTGGAATTTGTTAATTTTAGGGTTTTTTGAATAATAATATGATTCAAATGTTTAAATTATACTGCATTATATTTGTTTATTATATTGTATTAGTAGTGCATAATCGACCTATAAATTGCTGTATCGCCTTATGAAATTGGTTAAATTGCCTTGTGAAATCGAAAGTTTTTTGTTTCAATTCTCCCTTGTCATCAAGATTTGGTTTTGAAATTTCATTCTCTTTTTAAGGTGTCTATAAGGTTAATCTTTGATTATTATTTATCATTATCTTTGATTATGTTCTATTTATATTTTTTAGAAATATAGTTGAAACAAACCTGAAAGATTTTACACGATAATATTTAGTGATAACTATTAAAAAGATAATGATAATAATTGTCATGGAGGAATAGAGATGGTTATGAGCCCAATTTGATAATAGAATCACATATCCTTAAAATGATGTGAAATTTTTTAGCTTTATATGATTATTGAATCAAATTTGATTGCTAATGTATTGCACAGAGAACCTATTGCCAAGATAGAATTAGCTCATTTAGGCGTCTATGCATGATATTTTGTTAATTATTTAAAACAATCTGTAAATGGTTTTTTTCCCAACTAAAATTGCAGTAACAAGAGTTATCATCCATGTATGTGCATTTTCTTTGTTCATCAAGCGAAACTGCTAAAGTGTATACTTTTATAGTTATTCTGCTCTCTGTTTCTGCCTTGCCCTTTGGCTTAGCTCTCTACTGATAAAAGGCTGATTATGTGCATGATTAGGGTGTGGTAGTAAGGTTTTATTAGTTACTCTTAACTTGTACTACAGATTGCACTTGTGTCTGTGTAGTTGATATTTCTTCTTCTGATGGGATCGGTTGCAACTTCTGAAAGATCTAATAATCTGCTCAACTTTTGTGCTTGTAAGTTAGATTAGTTAGACTGTTGTTCTCTGAAGTTAAACATCATTCTGGTTTCAGGGATGAATCACTGCTTTTCCAAGACCTGGCTTTGAATGATGACTTGCAAAGAGTACTTGCAAAGCATGAAGCCGCAAGAGAACTCGAAACCTGAATCTAGTAAAGGGCTTGTAGCTATTGATGCTCCTTTGGTTGATTTAGGAGAAAGCAGCAAGCAAGCTGATGGAAGGTACATCTGCATTGATTGTATAATTCTGAATTATATTGTCTGTTTGGCTTAACTAATTAGTAGTTATGTTTCTCGGTGTTCACAATTTGTGTAAATGGCTTGGCCCGAACTTTGTATAGAGAAATTAACTGGCATGTCTATGTTTGTTGTCATCACATTGCTTGTGCTTGGTATTGTGATTTATTTGTATCCAGCGGGTGGGGCTTTGACAATAAATGTTAACATAATGGGCCAAAGTGGTCTGAATAAGTTGACCAGGTCAGCTAGAAACCTATTGAATATTGGCTGTTAGGGGCCTGGAAATTCCTGTCAAGCATGGGTTAAAAATAAGGTTTAGACTGGGCTACTTGGTCTTGTGTAAAATACTAGGTTTTATATGCTGTAGACTGCTAGTATGGCTGGGATGCTTCAGAAATGTTCCTGGTATTTTTTGACATTCCCATGTGCATATATCAAGTTTGGAGTGTGACCACTGATAGAAAATAATTTTGAAGTATGTCAGGCAGACTGTAATATTAAGTTTTGACCAATTATATCCTGCTATTGATTGAAGGACTTAACCTCTGAATAACATGTATTAATAATTAGCATTTCACTCATCATATGTAAATTTCTTTTTTGGGATAAGTTGGAATAAATTTAAAATTATTTTAACTTTTTAGCTCGTTTAAGGGCTATCTTGAGGAGTGTCATCATTTGGGAAATATGAAATACAGCACCAAAATTTTTGATCATCTGAATTAATCATTCGCTTCCAATAATTATCAGTTAACATTCTTCCTTGTCCCCTAGTTTGGCATAGACTAGTGGTAGAACCAATTTTTTGAGGGTAATAATGAGCCAGGGACCTCCAATTTAACCTCACAACTTTTTAAGGTGCTTCTATGCTCACTTGGGTTTGTTATGTATGATTTTACTACCTGATATATATCGAGTACTCCATGTTTGAATTACAACCTGCGTTTTTTTAGATGATATTTTTGACCATTAATCTCCCAAATATAATTACATTTTAGCTAATGTTTGAAATTGGCCGATGTAGCTTTAGTTTTGTTGTACTTTCGAGTGTAATGCTTACAAAGTATATGACTTTAGAGTTTGGTAATTCTCCTGTTTTGTGTTCTTGAAAATAGAATTTGACTTGATTAAACCATTTTAGGAATTGTGATGTGAAATATCTGCTATCATCAACTTGGCTAATTTAGGTGTAAATTATGCCGAATTACCGACTTGATTGTTTTGAAGCTTTCAGTTAGTGACTTTGTGTGTGGTTACCAGGTCTGATTAAATTTCTAGGCTACCATGCATAATGTTCTGGGAAGTCTTTTCTTATTACGAAGATTCCGAAGTTTGCATACAGTTTCCTATGCATAATTAAGTGCTTGGTTGATTTTCTACATTGTTTTTCCTTTATGTTTGTGCCTTTGATATCTTGCTACTCTTTCCCTTGGCTCAAAGTAATACTTGTTATGTTTGTGCTTTTGATTTTGGCTTCAGTTGTTATTATTATTCTTATTTTGTTGCTGTATTCTCTGATGCACTAGCAGCTACTGTTCATCTCAGCCGCTGCTGTGTTGCTTCTGTGATTGTTATTGGGGAGTTGTTCTGTTTGTTCTTCTTATTGTCGTTCTGTGGCTATGCTATTGAGTGTTCATTTTTGTTTTTTTTTTTTTTTCATTTCTATCTCTTTGTTATTTTTGTTAAACAGTCAATCAGATGCATAATATTAAACACTAACCCCTTTATATGTTATGCCTCCTTCCTGCTCCAAAAATCAGATTTGGCGTATGGGAAGCTGCAAAATGGGTTGCACGTGTCCGAGAAAGTACAATATTACCCAGCTCGCCCTATTCTGCTTAACTTAACAATTGAGATAGTTAAAGAGAACAGAGGTACATGTGAAGTAAAGAGTTGGCCTTGGAGACTGCATTTCTTATGAAGATGATGGAGTCCTAGCTGTTCTCCTTAACCTGGTCCTGTTTTCTGGAAGATTGGTCGATGTCTGAACTACTGAAGTGTCACAGGAATTCCTGTACTATTATAATCCCTTGGTTTTATCATGTCTTGTTTTACTATACATATTTAACTCCCAGTAGATCCCTAAGATCTGGATTAAAAAATCCAAATCGCAAGCATTCTTTATTTGTAATGTTTTACTAAAATTTTGATATTATGTTGTATTAATTTTTACGAAAGGTTGTTTAGTATAATTGTTTATTTACAGGAATAGGTTTATTATAATAGGTTATAATTAATATATTAATTAATTATATATAAATACGTGCTGCTGAAATTTAATTCAAAAAAAATTAATTTATGACTATTGGTAACGGGCAGGAGAGTTGTGAGTTACAAATAAGCACTTATTTGTAACGGGCATTTTTGTTGCCCGTTACAAATAAGTATTTAATTATATAATATAAAACCTTATTCGTAACGGGCAATTGAGGTGTCCGTTATGAATAATGAGTCATTCGTAACGGGCGTTTCAGGTGCCCGTTACGAATAAGGACTTATTTTAGAACAAAAAAGGCCTTATTCGTAACAGGCACCTAAAATGTCCGTTACGAATAACCCATTATTCGTAACGGACAGTGCCCGTTACGAAAAATAATGGCCATCCGTAATGGACGCTGCCCGCTACGGATGGGCCCTTTTTGCCCGTTACGGATGGCCTTTTTTCCACTAGTGAATATCAATGTTTATTCTATTATTGTTGTGATCACCATATTACATGTTAAAGGGAATATGTAATTGAAAATCACGCCTAATAAGATAATTTGGACAATCGGTTTAGGTTCCTTTTTAATCTTGTTATTAATTCAAGTGATCACAATATTTTATATGTTGCATTAATATTAAACCAATTTAGCTTAATAATAGTTTGGAGCAAATTGAATATTTTGTTTGTATGCCTTTGAGATCACAGGAATCACTTTTCACTATAAGAATCGAGTAGAGGCCAATACGGGCGAATGTGACTCCATGACTCACTTCGTACCGTCATCCCCGATCCTCCTTTCGTGGTTCCTAACCATATGGAGTTAGTAATCTCATGGATTATGAATGGGTTGTAACCTTCACGGGTCAATCAATGTTGCCTTCGTTGTCCCTTAATTGTGGTTGCCTTAAATGATCTGTGAACGGTTTACAAGTTCCTTAAAAACTTGTTGGCGGCTCCCTAATTTGCTTTGTCCCTAATTGTAATATCAATTCCCACTCCCTATGAGTGCCAAGCATATTCACCACATGCTTAACGTAGGCGAACTTCGAGTGACACCTACAATTTGGCGACTCCACTGGGGAGGATTCTTGGTTATTTATCGATTTGAGTGATCGGTATTTAATTAAGATGAGTGGATGAGACTTGAAAGATTCTTGAAAAATATTCCTGTGATTAATTTGGCATTTTTGCATAACCATAGACGTTTTAACGTCGCAAATAGGTCTGTGCTGTAGGAAAAATTGAAAACTTGATAGCGTTCGAAGGAAAACAGGGCACCAGTCAGATTTTCTGACTGTCGTGCCACGGCAGAATCTTCCGTGTCATGGTGCAGTACACCGTCTGACGGTGTGCAGCACCGTGGCACGGTGATCCCTGCCGTGTCACGACAGTCCTAAGATCAGTCCGGTGGCTTGTTTTCTCTTCTCACAGTCAACTTCCTTTGATTTTTCAGAAAAAACGTGTGTGTTCTACATGCGTCTTAGCCCCAGGGGATTTAAGCTCTATCAACCCAAAAACGCTCATGGCAATAAGGAATCATCCGAGTTATTAAATCCACCCAAACCATGCAGTCGAGTTCGATTACATCACAAACTCGCAGAGCCGCCCATTGGCATACACCCTCAAGAGAGGTTGCCTTGCTAACGTGTCCAAACTCTTAACCATGGTACCCTTTTTGACACCCAAAGCTTGACCAATAGTTGAATATAGATCTTGACCTTAGGTTGCGAACTCATTTTACATCGTGACTAAATGCTACATGTTTATTTGGTGCTAACCCTCATGTGTTTGCTCTTTTTGTATCACCCATGACCGAGGGTTTTTTATTTCCACATAGTAATTAGTACGGATTAAAAATTTATTAAAATCTAGAAATTACACAAATTTAGGCCTAGAATAGCGCACCGTGTCACAGCAGGTCTGCCGCGCCACGGTGTGCAATGCCGTGACATGGTGCATAGCCCCGTCTAACGGTGCACTGTACCATGTCACGATAGTCAGCAACGTGACACGGTGCCCAGGAGGTCTGTCCAGTCATCTTTTTTGGTCTTTGTGCATGCTTATGTGGTTCGTATGTCTAGTTTGGTGTCCTGACTAGCTGTATGGTCATAACACGTGTCCATAACCTTCACGTAATCACTCACATGTCGTGTTCACACACTTTTCAGTTAGTCGTGCACCATTTCATGACCGTACTTTAGGGTGGTCTTGTGTCGTTTTTTTTTTGTTTTTTTTTCGGAGTAAGTCGGATGGTATCCTCCCATACTTTTTTTAGAAAAAAAATAAAAATAAAGTAAATTTCAAAATTCAAAATAAATTTCTTTTTATTTCCGGATGGGTTAAGGTTAAGTTTGGTCATTCAAGGTGTGTTTGTTTCGGTGTCACAGTACTTGGTCAAGAAGCAGGGGTAGATTGTTACAGTTCGAGTCAATACCTCAACAACCTCTTATACCAAAGAGGCGTACAAGGAAACCACCACAATCATCTCCACAAGATCTATCTCTAGTCTACTTTCAACCAATGGCTACTAAGGAAGATATCGAGAATATCAACAAGAAATTGAGATGTTGTCTAACATGATGCAAACACTCACCGCTAGAGTCAACACGGTAGAGCAAGACAATAAAAAAAATGTCACTGCCGCTGCAATGGACAAAATCAAGGAACACATGAGTAAGATCTCTGAAGAGTTCACTTATGTGGAGCAACCTGTCACCTCTTCGTCCATAAGAGACAAACATCCTGAGATGTTTTCCACTGCTGACATTCCCAAGTTCAAGCCTACCTATAATCCGCTTTTCCACTTGAAGGCCTTTTCTACGACTATGGCTCTTAAAGGATTAGATGTGACACTCTTCCCTACTGTGTTCCCTCTTTCCTTGGAGCATGCCTGTCAACAGTGGTTCTATTCTCTGGAATCCAAACATGTTGCAACCTGGGAGGACGTTACTGAAAGCTTTATGAATCGTTACAAGTGTAACATCTAGACCAAGACTTCTGAACGTGAACTCTCCATTCTCAAACAGAAGGAGAATGAAGGCTTCACTACTTACCTAAGCAGATGGAGATAAACAGCTGCGCTCTTGGTGGATCCTCCCAAGGAGAAAGAGATGGTTCGCCTGTTTATTGCAAATTTGACTCATAAGTACAAGCAACATTTGAAGTTTCTGCTTGAGTACCTTCGAATCTGTGTACGATATTAGAATCAATATCGAAGATGAACTGAAGAAGACTGCTACTAGCAACAATAATAACAACAAAACTTGGAAAAACAAGAAGAACGACACTCCTTATTCTTCGTCTTCCAAGCCTAATAATGCTACCAACAATGTCAATATCAATGATGTGCTGGCTCTTAATGCTCCCCCTCAAAGATTCCAAAGGAAAAGGAGGGTGTACACGCCTTTGGGAATGACTTACGATGCTGCTTTTGATCGCTTGCATAGTTAAGGACTGATTATGCCAATTGGACCTTTTCCAGAACCTCGACCAGAGAACAGAACTGCTAGCTATGACCCCAATGGTCATTTCAAGTTTCATCAAGGCAAGGGTCATACTTATGAGAAGTGTGGGAGCTTGAAGGATGCGATCCAAGAGCTGATTGATGCTAATCAACTTCCTGTCCTCTAGGGGACAAGAAGCCTAATATTCAAACAGGTCCTCTTTCTGATACTTTGGCTATCATGGGAGATGAAGTCTCCTTTGATCCGTCAATACTCATTCAATCTGTGAATGAACCTCTGCCGGAAGTTGTATTTGTCTCGAACTATGAAGAAGTAAATGGAATTTGGGATAGTGACGATGAAGACGTCTATCTCAAAGATATAGCCTGTTCGTCTCTTGACACAAGTGAGGATGTTTGGGGAGACCTTGAGGTCAAGGTTCTCACCAAAAGTGGACGGTTGCAATAGCCTAGTCCACCTCCACCTCCACCGCAATCACAACCAATAGTTGATCCCATCGACCTTGTGAACAACGATGTGGTCAAATAACTACAAAAGACCAAGGTGGAAATGAATGTATGGAAGCTTTTGGACACCTCTCACGAGCATCGAAAGGCTGTGATGAATGCTCTGGTGAAAATAGGAGTTGATGATGATATGACTCCTCAAGGACTGATCAACCTTCTTACTACTGAATTGCCAAGTACTAGCAATCTGATTTCCTTCTCTGACAAGGATCTGCCCCTGGAAGGGGACCAACATAACAAGGCCTTGCACCTCACTGTGGTGTGTAGGCAGATGAATGTTCCTATGAGTCTGGTTGATAATGGCTCTGCAATCAATTTATGCCCACTCCGCACTGCAAAAAAGTTGGGCATAAAAAATGAAGAATTGACTCTCTCTACTCAAGGGATTCGTGCTTACGATAATACTCGTCGTCAAGCCGTGGGTGCTATCATGCTAAACATAACTACTGGAGCCATTGAACGTCGCACCAAGTTTCAGGTGGTGTACATTAAGGCTTCTTTCAATCTGCTGTTAGGTCGTCCTTGGCTTCATGAGCTAAAGGCGATCCCATCGTCGTTGCACCAAAAAGTAAAAGCCATAGTTGGAGGGGTTCCAATTACCATTGATGCCTCCCTTATGCGCATTTAAGTTATCGATACTCCCATCGTCCATGTCGAACATGACGAAGAAGATGACGATCTCTGGGGGTTTTTGCTGGATGATGTTTTCATGATCGAAGAAGAGGAAAAGTGTCACCTTGACTTTGATCCTTATTCAAATACCAATGATTTCCCTGGAATGACCCTCGGACTCAAAAAGAAAGTGGCTGAACTTTGGGGCCATCCTGGTGCACTTAAGAAGGATACCTTTGGCTTGGGATCCAAGCCAACAAAAGAAGATATGAAACAAGCTCTCATGAAAATGAAGGCTCGCAATAATGCTCAAATCATGAAGACGGAAATGGCTATGGACCCATATCCATTCACTCTCAATGGCCAGTATATCAAAGAAGGGGGAAACTTCTCATGTTATGAATTCCCTAAGCCTTTCGTC